GGGAGGAGCGCACGCGGATAAGATCAACCAGATTGTCCAGATCCTCCTTCTTCTTGAACTGCTTGGCGAAGTTCTCGCACCAGGCAGGGATGAGGGCGGGGTTGACACGAGTGAAGGGGCGCGTCTTGGAGGCATGGCGGACGTGGAACTTCTCGGGGGAGTTACTGCGCCAGGGGGCAGGCAAAGGAGGGGAGGGGTGAGTGTCGGGGCGGAGCAAATCCGGCGGCGGAGGGAGGGCGCGGCGTACATCTGAAGACTGCAGAACTGCGACACAGCGGTGAGGATCTGGGAGGTGGCGTCGGGGACGGGGAAGGGCTCGGAGGGGGCAGTAATGGTGTCGAAGTCGAAGTCATCGATGAACTCTGGGGAGAGATGTCTTCAGAGGTGAGAGTCGGCGGGAAGCAAGGGGGGCAGCGAGGCCGGGGGTGTGGGATGGATGGGGGGGGGGGGGGGGGGGGGGGGGGACCAGAGGGTCGGATTGTTGCTGGGCAGACCGGTCCTCCCATCGCAGGGGGAACGTGCACACAAGAGAAAGGGGGGGGGAGGGGAAGAGCAGACGCACCGGTAGCCGAGCTAGAAACCGTGGTGGCCGAGTCGGGGCCGGATGACTGCAGGACGTTCAGGTAGCCACGCAGGGTGCGCGACAGGAGGGCAGCCTTGAGGTCGATCTCGACCGGGATGTCGTCCGAACCGACCAGGGTCAACTTGGGGGTGCTCACTGTGCGCGTGTGCGTGTGCGTGTGCGTGTGCGTGTGCGTGTGTGAGCAGACAGAGAGCCGACAGAGGAAGGGGGGGGGGGAAGAGAAGGGGGAGGCGCACTTGTGGACAGGAAGGAGCAGAAAGGCAAGCGCGGGGACTGGTAGCGGAGGCCGAGCAGCAGGGGGGCTTTGGCGAGTGTAAAGGAGGAGCGGAACAGGGTTGATGTCCAGCTCGAGGGGGAAGAGGGGGTGAGGGGCAGAGAGAGAGAGAGTAGGGGGGGGGGGGGGGCAGGGGCAGGGGTGAGAAATGGTCAGTAAAATGGCCCGGGCCATGCCTCCCAATAGCGCTGTGCGGGCAGCCGGAGCTATCATCTTTTGCGGAGGAGGGACGGGTTCTATTCTCTTCCCCGGGCGGGTGGGGGTCTGTGCTTCTCCCTTGGTCTCTCTCTCTGTGCCTCTCTGTCCCTGTCCCTGCCCCTGCCTTGCCTCTGCATTGTCACCAGGCGTCGCTCAGAGCTGGCAGCACATCGGTGCGTCCCTCCCCTCGACCCCCCGCCCGATGCCCCCGCCGGGTGTGCCCCGACCCTGCCATTCTCCGGCGCCCCACGGTCCCCCTTCCCGGTTGGAGGGTGTCCTAACGGAGCGCTTTCGCGGGCATCGAACGGGACGATCGCCGGGGGTGTTTATTTTTCTCCCCTACGCCTTTGGCCTGTCTCTGGCTGGTGGGCGGCTCGTCAAGTGCGTCAATGTGTCGGTAGGGGTGTGTGGTCATGTGTGCCCCAAGCCCAGAGGGGCCGTATTCTTGTGGAGGCCCCCCCCCCCCCCCCCGTCCCCCCGCCGCACCCCTCGTCCCACTGCCAGAGTCTGGTGCTGTCGGGGCATTCCTCCGGCTGTTCCGTTGGGAGAGCTGGCGCCCCTTTCCGGCGCGGTGGCAGTTCTGGCGAGCTTCCGGAAGTCCCCACCGACGCTCGGCCACCAAGAACACCTCCTTCCCAAGGAAATTTGCCCCGGGCCGAGGCGCTCCCTCGCAGGCATCATCTCGCTATAGGCGCGATGCGCGTCTGTCCCTGGGGGAAGGTCCCCCCCCCCCCCCCCCCCTTCGCCGCCGTGCTTCGGCCGAGGATGCCATGCCCTTGACTGGCGTCTTGCAACGGTGAGATCGTATTGTAGGGTTTATTTGATTCAAGAAGCTGAGGCGCCAGGGGGGAGAGAGAGGAGGAGCAAGGGGGCATCGGAAGCAGCCAAAGTCTTTCTATGCCATGCGTGCTGGCCGTCGCCCAAACACAGTACCGTGAGCAGGGTCCCTGCGTGGCAACGGATTTCTGAGTGGGAACGGGAGGACGATAGGTATAGAGAGAGAGGGGAGAGGGAGGAAAGGGGGGGGGGAGGGAGAGAGAGAGGGGGGGAGGGGACGAACGGGCGACAGGACCCGCATAGCATGAGAACCTAAACACGGCGACGGGAGATCTGCAAATACTGCTCACAGGTCTCCTCTGGGCTCCGCGCAAGGGGAGGGAGAAGGGAAGGCGACAAGGCGCACCCCCGTCGTGCAGGCGTGCTGTGTGCGATGTATGGGAGGGGGGGGGAGGGAGGGGGTCGGCGAACGTGTATGATGATGTATGTATCTGTGTGTTGCTCCTTCTCTTCTTCCTGAACACCAGGAAGGAGGCTATCCGCGCGCGGGGGTGGGGAAATGGGGAGACGGGAAAGGCACGCCCCGGGGGACAGCATGGAGGAGTAGGGGGGGGGGGGGGGGACGCTCACCCTCACAGTGTGTAGTCTTGCGCTCAAGATGAGGTGGGCGACTCGGCCTGGTCAAAGACGATCTTATGATAGGAAATCAGCGATTCGGCAATGCAGTTCTGCATCTCGATGTTGCGGATGCTGCCGTCCGGGCTACGCATCAGTGTCGGCCCGAAGACCACGCCCAGGTTGTAGGAGGCCATCTTGGTGTACTCCGAGTGCTCAACCACCTTGGCCAGGTGGTTGATCAGGAAGGCAAGCACGCGGTAATGCACTGGCGGGAGTCTCCGGGTGAGATCCCGCAGGGCAATCGGATCCATGCGATTGGCCTTGGAGTCTGTGTGTGGGTGTGTGGGAGTGTTAGAGTGTGAGGGAGGGAGGGAGGGAGGGAGAGCATTGCCGCTGAACAGCACACGACCCAAGCAGAAAGGGAAAGGGAGAGAACGTACACCGCGCCAACTCGACAAAGTCGTCATACAGATCGAAGGTCAGCAGGGGGATGGGCAGCTCGCGCAGCCAGAGCTTGATGACACCCGTGACAACGTTGATATCCGGCCACTGGTCCTCATCCTCGAGCTTCGGCCGGCCAAAGGCAAAGTGCGTGCGCAGCTTGTTGATGTCGCTCTTGGTGGCCGAAATCCGGTAGATGCCCTCCACGAAGAAGCCATTGCGCTGCTCGAGCACACCAAGGCACTGGGCCACGATGGGTGGCAGGCCGTTGTCATCGGCAACCAGCGACTCCAGCGGCACACCGAAAATGTCATCACCAATGTGCTTCATCATGCGCGTGGCCACCAGATTGACAGGAGCGCTGTTGCTGTGGCGTGGTGGGTCATGGTGAGAACGTGTGTGTGTGTGTGTGTGTGTGTGTGTGTGTGTGTGTGTGTGTGTGTGTGTGTGTGTGTGTGTAGGGGAGGGGGGGCATGTGTGTGTGAACACATATGGGGCCGCGTGACGTACTCCACTTGGTCGGTGTCCTCCTCGGCCGTGGATCCGGCCACCGGGGCCGGAGCGGCGGTGGTGTTGGCGGCGGCCGGCGCCGGCTGCTCGAGGAGCGAAGAGGATGAAGCCATCTCATGCATGGCCTTGATGATGCTTGCGAGGCCGCAATTGGGGGCCTCCTTCTTGGCGCAGCTGCGGTGGTAGAAATGGGAACACTCTGTACATGGCCGAGGAGGGATGCGCACGCGTTAGAGCGGGGGGGGGGGGGGGGGGGGGGGGGGGGGGGGCACAATCAGGCGAGGGCAGGCATGCGTATGCGTACCAGTGCACTTGGTCAACAGCCGGTCGCGAATGGGCTTGCTGCAAGAGAAGCACCGCTTGTTGAACCAGGAGCTCTCCTCCACAAAGCGATGGGGGATGCAGTGCGAGGACCGGTAGAAATGGTTCATGGCCGCCTCGGCGGCGCTGATTTGTGGAGCAGCAGCAGCGGCAGCAGCGGCCGGAGTGCCGCCACTTGTGGGGGTCGCCTTGCCAACCTTCGGGGAGGTTGGGGATGAGGCAGTCGGCGAAACAGCCGAAGAGGCGGAGCCCGAGGACACTGCGTATGTTTTTGGGATCCCCAGGGGAGAAGGGAGAAATGGGTGGATAAAACGGGAAGGAGAGAGAGCGGGAGAGAAAAGAAAGCAAAGAGGTAAGCAGACCAGGGGGGAGTAGAGACCGAGCGGCCATCGGGCAGGACGTACCCTCACTGGTAGGAGAAACGGTCGACACCGACAGGGGCTTTTGCGAGGCAACAGCCACTGGCGCAGGGGCCGGGGCCGGGGCCGGGGCCGGGGCCGGGGCCGGGCTCGGGTCCGCAGTGGGAGCAGGGGCAGGGGCAGAGGTGGAGATCGGGACCACCACAGGGGGCTCTGGGGTGGACTGCAGAGTAGGCGCGGCAACAGGCTCGACGGCGGCCTCGGCGGCAGGCTCAGCAGAGATAGGCGGCATGGGGGCGGCGGCAGTGGCCGCCTCGACGTCGACGGCCTCAAAGGCAACCTCCGAGGTGGCTTCCGAGGCAGAGTCCGACAAACACCCGGAGGTCAGCTCAGACTCATCCTCGGAGACCGAATCCTCATCGGTCAGCAGATCGGACGTGTGGTCATCCTTGTCCGAAGGTTCGGCGACTGCGGCCGAGGCGGCGGAGGTGGTTGCAGCCGCGGTCTCGGCAGCCGGCTCGAGCGCACCGCCCGAGAGAGAGCCGTGCTGTGTGTGTGTGCGGAAAAGAGAGAGAGAGAGAGAGAGAGAGAGAAGGAGGGCAATTGAGCAATCATCAGTGTCGGTGTGTGGTCCGTGGGAGGTGCAGGTATGTGAGCGGAATGCTGAGGATGGGCGCGCGCGAGAGAGAGAGAGAGAGAGAGAGAGAAAGGCAGAAAGAAAGCAGCAAAACACGGAAGGGGGGAAGGAGACGCACGCTGCCAGTGAGAGACGCCCGACGGGCGTCCAGGGGGAGACTCGGCGGGGAGCCAGCCGCGGCCAGAGCCATCGCCTGAGCCGCGGCCAGGATACTCTCGATGGACCCGCCGGCGGCGCCCATGGACCCGAAGGTGACGGCGGTGGCCGGGGGCAGGTCCCCAGTCGACTGAGTGACACCGGTGTTGGCATCGGCAACAGTGGGGGAAGCAGCCTCCTCCTCGTCGCGCTCGCCATCGCCGGACTCGGACTCGGACTCGGAGTTGGAGTCGGAGTCCTGCTCATCGCCGGCATCGGCCTCTGGCTGGACGGCATGGCCCTCGTCATCCTCGGGAGCGGTGGACGGGGGGATGATGTGCGCGCGGGGGGTAACCGGCGGCGAAATGGACACCTCCCTGGTGACGTGGACATGGGTTTCACCAGCATCAGGGGCCGCGGGCTCCTGACCGGGCAACACCAGCGGCACGGTGGTGGTGGTGGTGGTGGTGGTAGTGGTGACCGTGGTGGCTGGCCCATCGGCCGAGGGGTCATCGTCATCGGTGCAGGGGGCCGCGGCACCGGGAGACACCGACGTCGACCGGGACACCACCTCCGTGGTCTTGGTGGTGACCGACGTGGCGGTGGTGAGGGTGGTCGAGGTGACGGTGGTGGTGACGAGCTCGAGCTCGCGCGTGCAGTCGGACATCGGCGACCCGGTGGTGGGCACCCCATCCTCATCGACCTCGATGTACTCGATCACATAGACCACCTCATCGGCGTTGGAGGACGGCAGCTCCGGCAAGTCGCTGAGCATTTCCACGTCGGAGCCGGGATTCGGCGCACCGACCACCCGGACAACGGGGGCCGCACGCGGTGGCGGAGCCGGCGTCAAGTCCTCGGCGCGGACCGCCGGCGAGGGGTCGGCCGTGACCAACGACGGCAGGGACACGTCGCTCGAGCAGACATCCGCCACATCGGTACCATCAGAGGGGGAGTGGTCTACCCCGGGGCTGAGAGGAGGGGGGCCCTCAGTGGGAGGCTGCATGGTGGGCTC